TTATTAAATAAAAAATTAAAATAATCTAAATAATTACTGTTTGGGATAGCTTATTCATGAAAAATTGCATGAAAATAATAGGATTTTTTTGAAACAATAAAAACTTACTTGTTATAACTTAAAGAACTAATTATCTTTTATTTGCTTATTATTTCTTTTTAACAATTCTTTTCAGCGTTCACTTTGTAGTCGTAACTTTCGTCGGCACTATAATACACTCGTATGTAACAATTCGCACTAGAGAAATGTAAAGGCAGCTTGGTAGTCACTTTACTACTACTATTTTGTCGAGTGATTACTGAATAAACTCAATCGTAAAAGTAATAACGATGGCAGAGAGAGAGAAAGAAATGCATTGAATGAATGTCCTACCCTATTTAACAATTGTTTAATCGTCGAACAACTAGGTGTTTCAACATAACAAAGTGGTTCGGTTTTATTATTTTTTTTAGATTAAAGCCGTTTACAAGTTTCTTTAAACAGCGATAGTTTTTTTCGCTAAGGATTTTCCAGTATTTTTATCAAGGATAATTTTTGAGACAAGCATAAAAATATTTATTTAAATGAACTTGTTTGAAACATGAACTAACAGTTTTCCTTTAATTATGAAATGCGCCAAATTTTACTTATATTTATTGCAATCCTGATTCTAATATAATATGAATATTGAAAAAGGATCAGAAAATTTCAATAACCGTGTTTATCCATTTGATTTTATTGTTAAATTTAATAGTCCAAACACAATGACTAATTAAGATAGAGAAAAGATATATAACGTACGTGGTTAAAATAAAAGCAGAAACTTTATTAATTTAGATCGTTAGAACTGGCATATTGTAAAAAATGTTGGTTTAGATCAGCGAGTGTTCAACAGTACGTAAAAGGCTATTATTTATCTATATTAGTTTAATGCACATTGTATCGTTTGATAAATGTGCAAGGAATACTTTTAACAGAAAATAAGAACTACTAATTTAATTTAAACGTTTCCTTTTTATTATCCGAAAATATAGTTTTTTTTATATTCATTTTAACTTAAAGTACTTAACGTACTGTAGCTTAAATAATAGACGTTATTATTCTTTATTTTCCATAAAATAATGGTAATTTTTTTACTTATAAAATGGTCTTATAAAAAATACATGATTCTTACACCAAACAATTGCTTAAAAATTACCCATTCTGCAGTTTTTGTCAACGTTTGTATTAATTATGGAGTACAGTCACCGTGACACAATTAAATTTTTACGCAAATTCTTTTTTATTACACTACAAAATAATATTGAGAATTTGGGACTAACTGTATTTATACTTTGAATATTTAATTATATCCGTACAGGCAACCGCATAAGCACTGGTGTTCTTCGCAGTTATATACATGTAAGGGTAATTTTGAACCTTTAATTACTTTTATTCAAAAATTAACGAAAACACCGTTTCTTTTGACAAAATTAAGACAAACAGTTACTTAAAAAGCATTTTTGTATTTTTTTTGTTACCAATTTATGCAATTGCTGATGGAAAACAGAATCAGAGCCTTATTTGTTTTTTTTCTTTTTTTCAACTTGAATTAATTTTCAATGATTTGAATATACTAGACTTTTACACAGGCAAAATATAATAACTTTTTAGTTTTGGAAAAGAAAATTGTTTATAAGTTATTTTTTAGCTTTATGGTATTTGAAACTTATGGATTTGAGATATCAAATTCCATAAGAAATCACAATGGCGAACCTCCCACCCTTAAAGTATGTTTAGGATAATATGGCGTTTGTGGTTGTATAAACAGTGACATTATTTTGTGTAAATAATAATGACTTTTGTTAATTCCACTTAAATTCTGTGATCGTGTGTGTTTGTCTTTTATTGCATTAAAATATAAACATTGTATGGATGGTGCATAATACTCATGTCTGCTGTAACACGATCAGTGGCAGGTGAGAGCAAAATATTAAAAATTCAGTCCTTTTATTAATTTTAATGCAGATTTGATACTGAATTTACATCTTCACAATTAATCTTCATTAATGAGAGTATTTTCAGTCATATATGAATTGAATATAGTAGTTTTCTTGCAATAATGTGATCATAACCTTTAACACTATTAAGCTATTCAATTAGTTAAAGTCTTAAATTCTTTTTGAGTAGTTTTATTTAATTACTAAGTCATTTGGAGTAAAATGTAACGAAAATGTTTAGAAATTGTTAATTTATGATTAAAAGCTTGTGAAAGCCTTAAGTATGTCATGACATTGTAATGATTTATCTTATGGTGTTTCCTCATCTTGTTAAAGGTGCTGACCCTACAAAAAGCATCCAGAAACGTAGGGCTGGCAGTATAGGGTGAGTTTATTTTAAAAATACATCTTTTTATTCAAAAATTCGTTTTTATATAAACAACTGAGATTCCTGTTACATTGCACTGGTTTTCCATGTTTACCACTAGGTGGAAGCATGAGTTGCTCAAGTTCATATTTTTTCTTACAATCAATGTATAGAAGTAGAGGGGGATTCACCTACAGTACATATTTTACTTATTAAAAAAAAAAATATTTTATCGTTAGAAATAAGATCATACATTCATTTTTATTCATTTAAAATGTTTTTTTAGTTTTCATATATTAACTTCTATAAGTATCTATTACATTTTTGTAGAAAAAAAAAATGCTCAAAAATTGATTCAACAACAACAAACAAGTTGTTTTGTTGGGTATAATAAATTAAGTTATATTATTAATTAACACATGATTTAATACTACAATTACAAAATTGAAATAACCGAATTCAGTGTGGAGGGCAGTTATTACTATTAACTGGACTTTAATTAAACTTTAATCTAATTAATGTTATTTGTGGAATTTGCGATTAAGCAACAATTTTTAGTTATGGATAATATTATTAGTTTTTAAAAATTGGTGGAGGCACCGGGATCAAATTAATTTTAAAAGTATTTCAATTCGCAAAAGATTGATGTTATTGCTATTTTAATTTTCCATTACAATTTTGACCTTACTGTTATTTATTTTACAGCACATTTTATGTTTATTTTTATATTGTTTTGTTTAATATCAAATACGAAAATAAAAAGCATGTTTGCAGTTTTTGCAAGGCTGTGCATGCATTACGTAATGGTTTCAAAAGAACTTATTTAGTTAATTTTGTAGACTGTCGCAGGTACTTCTATGTTATTATTTTTTCTTTTAAGTGTAAGTGTGTAAGTGGCCATCTAAAGGTCACGAATTCATATTTTTTATTCATTGCAAGCAAATTTTTTTCAATGGTGCGATATTACACTACAAGGTGATTCCAATGAAATTGTGAAACATCGATAAAATTCGAACTACAGCTGTATCTACTGTTGTTTTGCTGATCCCTTTAGTTTTATGCAGTTTTATAAATTTAGCAGAGTCGGTAGGTCCTTATGTATTAAATAATAATACAAAAAAATGTTTTTCAATTATAGGAACGCTAAAAGTAATTAAAATTATATCTCCTCCTTTTCTCGTGGATTATACAAATTGCGAAGTTGCAGAACGTTATAAAAATATTTAACTAGGCAATTCCATTACCCATATTACTAGTTACGAGTAGTTGTTGTTAAGTACATCGAAAACCAGGCATGAGATTTTGTAGCCACACGTCCAGATTTAATGTGGATGCAGTATTGACAGCGAGCTAAGAATCTTTAATTGTTATTGTTTTACGTTAGTCTAAAATAGTTGTAAATAACTAAATAGATGGTCTTCAATTACAAACTACAAGATTGTTATGAATTGTCTTATTTAGGATGAATTAAATAGTTGCGAATAATTACAAAGGTCTTCAAGTGTAAAATCAGCCGGAGTACAGGGTTCAATTTGCACCAAAACTTTTTTTTCTTGGTTATTCATGTAGTTAGGAAAGTTTTGAGGAATTTAATGATGAGTCTTCACCTCTTCACCCATATTTAAAGACACAAGTCGCAACTAAATTAGTTGAAATTACTGAAAAACTGATGCATTCCACATAAAAAAATCAATGTTCTAAGAGGAACTGTATAACTCAGTAGCTTTTATCCAGGATCGTGCTAACACTATTAGTTATGGGATTCCTACTCGTGTATCCCTGGTTAAAAGATTCTTGTCCCCAGTCAAATGTCACGAGTCCTTTGACTGGGATGTACAGGTCAGAAACTTATTAAAAAGAGTGCAAAGGCTTTGTGCTTCCTGGACTTATTTAATTCTACTTGAAAAGTCCTTCGGTTGTTGATTGAATAAGTATCAAGTATGTAACGTATTTTCGCGATCAAAGGATTGTGCTTGTGAGCTCGGACACTCAGTTCTTAAATTCCATAGTGTACTTATATTAAATATAATTACAAGTCCTGCAAATCAGATTTATGATTGAAGTAAACGTAGTCATTATCTTGTGCCGTCGGCGGCAGCAATAGCGCGGCGGCAATTCCATAGGTCTCTTCTTTCTACCTGTTGGAGGGCCCGAATGCGAGCCCCACTCCGGGTGCTCCGTTCGAACCCATGTGGTTCTGCCACGGTGCAGTTAGCAAGAAAGAACTCTAGTAGTTTGGATGTCGATCCGTTCGAAATGTACACGTAAAACGTAAAACTGCCCGTGACGTTCGTTATTAGTAGTAGTAGTAGTAGTAGTAGTAGTAGTAGTAATAGTAGTAGTAGTAGCAGTAATAATAGTAACAGCAGTGACAGTTTTTCCCATGGTGCCACTGCCATGGGACGGTATTTCACCGACTACCTTTTCCGCGTTTATCCGAACCCTTTTCCATTCTCGTCCTTCTTCCAGTCCAGTTGACAGTAAATTATAACTGCACAGCAGCACCCGAGGTGGAAATGTTGTAATTAATTAAATTTTCGCCCTATTGTCCTTTTGTTAAAGCCGCCGGGGTTTTTGCGCCAGTTCGTTTTCGCACACTTGTTTTAACTTCGCTCATAAAAGACGTGTGGATCTGGGGCTGCATCCATTTGAAATGTGCTACTGAATCCTTCAAGTTTAACGGCAGTTTAATTATTATCATGTATTTCGAAAGATGTTGTTGAATAATTGAAAGTGAGATCAGTTTTTGCTAGAGATAGTTTTTCTGGATTAAAAAAACTGCCGCCAAAGTGGATATGTACGCTTACGCGGGGGGTGGCCCTCCTCATTATGCGCCGCCCCCTACTTATTTGCCACCACCGCCGCCACCCCATAATGCTCAGGTACCGCCGATGTCCATGCCCCAAGAGGCTCCTCCGCAAATTGCCCACTATTCCAAAAGAAAAAGGTAAAACACCACGATCATTTATAAAAACTTTTCTGAAAACAAAAAGTTTCTT